CTGGGTCGTGTCGGCCCATGATTCCATATGAGACCTGCTGCAACAATATCTTGTTTCCATATTTGTTGCAACCGTGTATTTGTATGGCCAAGTTGGACATCTCTCTAGTTAGCAAGGCTAATGACGTAATAATGTCAGGTGTCCGTGCGACAGTCACTAGGAAATAGGCGCAGCCTGTAACATGACCCTCGGGATCAACTGGCATATAACTGTAAAATCCATATTAAAAATTAACCTATAAGTTAAAGGGCTTTGTAGGTAGCTATTTAATTAGTCTCTCACGGTCTAGGAGTCAGTAGACACTTAAACTTAAATCAATCAATCAATCCCCCTATCACCATTTTCGTGAAGTTAACCACGATCAGAATAGATGGTAGGGTTGGAGCCCTACTCATAACCAGCCCTTGATCATGGAGGGCAAGTCATCTGTTGAGTTTCCGGAGCGTAACCAGCACCAGATAGGGAGATGGTGGATTGGATCAAGATGGCCTCGACTGTTACAAAGAAGGGAGATAAAGATGAATATGCGCACCTCATTTGGTCCCGGTGTCTAGGCCTCGCCTGGCTGGGACTGCAGGTTTCTTGAGACTATTCCCCACGCACGCAGTTTCTATTGCTACCATTTTTATTTTTTTCGGTAAAGGTTACGTGGAAAAGGTGGCTGAATTCCACGGGTAACTACTGAGCTGCATGACTATTCATCACGTGCAATATATCAGTGATCTTTCAAGAAACACAAGAGGCAAGGAGCACTGTACAAAGTGTGGCCTGGGTCAGAGAGGATCCCAATGTGCTAGATAGTCTAATACTCAAATAGTACGATTAACACATCACAATGTAGCCGGCAAAGACGAATTCTTCACCTTTCAGTGGTGCCGGTGTAATCGCTCAGTATGCTCTGCATATCTGGGATAGCCAAGAATAATCGCATCCGAATCGAAGTCAAAAGCAACCTCAAGCACATCTCCATTTGACGACTTCTCGATAATTCCGCTCTTACCATTCTCATCTGAGTCCTCAACCTCTCTCTAACCACACATCATCTCGCCTCAACGACCAATAAAGAAGTTGCTCCAATTGCATACAGGAGCTTGCCCCATTAATCTCCAGCCATCTCTCACTACAAATTTACGACGCTATTTATACCCGCAAGGAGGAAACCAAGTCGAAAAATACAAAGCCTGGACCATGGCTTATGGGGGACTGTTGCCCTAATGGGACAAGCAACTTGAGGAAGAACAGGCGGCTGAGATGTGGAGCGAGAGGGGGATGAGGTCTCTGAACACCATGCTGGGACTGACATTTTCGAGGACTTTTCAACTTTGCATTTTTTGTGGACGCCAAGACCGAGATTTCGGCTAATTAGCCAGGAGGGCCTCTTTTGTCGATGAGTCAACGGCACTCCCCAGCGCCCTGGACGGCACAAAAGAAGTTGGGCTAAGCTAATATACAGCAATCACGCTCTGTCAAGACTTTTCAGACATTTCAGCACGACCTTCGGGAAGGGGATGGAAGGAGGCTAGAAAGGCAGAGGGTGAATGTCCCGAGGTACCCACAAGTCTGCAGCGCCCAGCTGCCCGGTCTCTTTAAACGCTTCGGAAGGGGCACTATGCCTTCGGATCTAGTCGTAATGTCGGTATTAAGAGAGCTCCGCACCCCGTGGTTTTTGCGATTTTTCCCGGCTGCCATACACCTGCAAATGGCCATCGTTTCGTTGGCTGGAGAGGGGAGATAATGAAGGGCAAAGGGCTCCTCTTAGTGTATGATCGAATGAGGACTTGTGAGGGGTGGTACAGTTTGAGGGGAGCTATATGGGAGGCATAGGAGGGGATATACTACTGGCATAGGTATCCTCGGCCTGCAGGCAGAGAGGACCTGCATGTCCTACATAGTCATAGACTCAGACAGGACAATAAATGAATTAATAAACATCACAGTGTATGACTACATGTTGAAGGCTAAGAATAGCCACCGAGGAAGTTGGGCAGAGTAATGTCTCGGGTCAAAAGTAGGATCTGTCCATACCAATTTAGGGTTTTTGCTTCTGTCAGTGCTAGTAATCTGTATTTAGAACCGCAGGTTATATGTTCCTAGCGTATGACTTTATTTATATATCAAGAGATTAAGTCAATCATGATCAGTATATGTATTCCTAGAATTCTGGGAGAAGTAGGATTTCAGTTGTTCTTACTGAGTTCACTTTTTATTTAATAAAATACCCTTTGTCAGTCACCATCCAGGCCCCCAGCTACTTGAGAGGATATTATAGGGAGCAAAGTTAGAATGGAAAGACTGAGGTTTTCCGGGATACTTAGACTTTGGTCAAACTCTGGTGAGAAAGCTGGTTTGGCGCAAGACGTTGAGTTAGAACAGCAAAATTTTCCCTTGATGTCTTTGTTTTTCAATCGTGTAGATTGCTAGCCTCATGAAGCCATCTCCAGTGGTATTTGTGGGTCCTCCGGGAACGCGCACCCGTGTCTTGCCTCCTGGGTGTAAGGCTTTATTCTGATACGATAGATTAGTCCATTCAATTAAGAAAACAGACTAAGCCACAACGTATCAGATTGTGACATCTTTTTTTTTTTTTTTTTTTTTTTTTTTTTTGCATCAGATTTTAATTGCGTATGCAGCTATCTAGCTATGACACAATATCAAAGAAAAGTACAGAAAAGATGACTCAATTTACAAGAGGAGCACTCATGCCTCGGATTTCATTTGCAAGTACCACTGCGAAGTTATGGTGGCTTTTTCTTCACCCCAAGTCAACCCTCATCCGTGAATACCCACCCAGGGGAACGTCTCAAAAACCCTGAGTTATCCAGACATGCCTCCGTCATCCATCAACTTTTCTCCGCGCGAAATGTAATCTGAGATGTCTCCTTCCCAAGTGGAGTAGGTGCCCAGGCTACTCAAACCATACCAGAGAACATCACCAGGAGGCGGACCACAACACCTTCCATCGTTGGCTCGTTTTTATAGTGTGAGCTGCACTCTCGCAAGCGAAGCCTTGGCGCGCACAAAGCTCAATTCGTAAAACTCCATGCCAAAATTCGAAATTTCACGCCCGTCGAAAACGTATCCCTCTTCTGCATCATCTTGTGAACTTGTCCTGATCCCTCTCACGTCCATCCCAAAGAGCTATCTCCCAAAATTGTGCTCCACGCTTTGCTTCCTCCGTCGGGTGTAAATATCGGCGTGGGCGTGTATTTGGTGACCGGCTGAGGCCAGAGAAAGTCGACGAGAGGTGTGGTCATTGAAACGAGGATGTACTAGGTCGTACTTGTAGACTTGATGAAGCTTAGTTGAGAATCGGACTCTTTGGGAGTGAAAGATTGACATGGTGGAGTAATTTGAATTTTTGCCTCGTGGGCCAACTTCTTTGATATTGCGAAATTTGACTGAACTTGGCTCTGGGAGAATATTTCACTCCCAGGTTCGTAGAGGACACCGCGTACAGGTGTTCAGTCTTGCCCTCCAGATTGTGACATCATTTAGGCTTAGAAACTTCCCAATAAATTGTTTGCACACACGCCATACCGCCTCACAAGTTTGGTTTGATATTTAGAGTGATACTTTAGTGTATGTCTATCTAGATCATTGCGCTCCTCTCTGACTAAAGCCACACATTTTACAGTGCTCGTATCCTCTCTTGTTACGGGAAAAGATCTCCCATTAAACGTACTTGATAGATAGATATTTAGCCTAGTAATTTAGGGTAAAATTAGGCTTCTTTTCCTTCGGATCCTTCTATCCGTAAAAACCAATTAGGTAGTGGTCAAAGCTGCATACGCAGAAAAAAATCTTTAAAAAAGTATAGTCTCAGCCACGAGCAGTGATTATATCCATCTATATCTCCTCTACTACTATTAAGCGCAACTTGATCCTTCTGCTAGCGTCGTGTCGGGAGCTAGGTGTGCGCTAGATACTCATTGCATGGTTTTTTCCCTATAAACAATAAGAGTGGGTGGTTAATAGTAGAGCTACCACCCGGTGAACCTTTATTGGAAAATTAACTGTTAATTTAAAGAATTATCAAATCTGGTCGGAAATTTTTGATGTTTAAGGATTGTTTGTCCTAAATAGTAGATCATCGATAAAGGATATTAATAGATAATTACCATTAGTAGGACCTCGACACTACCATCTGACCTGATTATGACTAGCTTCAGGCAATAGTGTGAGAGGTAAGTACTGACGGATGAAGATGATACAGACCGCAAGATCGCTTCAGAATTCCGAATAACGTGAGAATATTGGATGCAATTATTCTTGGCAGTCCTAAATGTATTGAGCGTCGTGGGCGTTTATTTGAGTATCGCTGGATTATGGAATTCGTGCGAACGGGTTAGGGATTAGACGAGCTGTGGGCCACTCGGCACTTGTTAGACTCAGTCGTACCTCAATTAACACATCAACTTTAAATGTGTATAAAGCCTGTGTAGAAGTGGGGAATCTCCGCTTTTGAGTCGAACAGCCTTGTACTCTGCTTGCTTGATGTGCATAAAGTGCTTCGATTAGAGATTGTTTGCCCAATTATATCTCAAACGAAAGATTGTTATCCAGAGTGTAAAAACTGTGGTCCATGTCAATAGAAGTTGGGGACGCACAAGACCCACAAAAAACATGTTGCCACCTAGATTGCACTTCCCTAGCTAATTAACGTTTTCTGCGCAATATGATAATTTCATCCTCTACAGCCATTCATTTAAGTCAGAAATCTGCGCTCTCGATTGCGAATGAAGTCATGCCTGATCTTGGTCACTGGTAGCTCATGCGTCGCTTTCGTTAATATTTTCAACTTCTCTCTTAACAGTTAACCTTACAATTCGGCCCGGCACACAGATTGCACTTACATCACACTCTCGCTACATATACCGTTTATCTTAAGTTGATCGTAGCAATTACATGTTGGCTCAGCATTATTGTTGCCGCTCGTCGCAGAGCTATCAACCTCAGTTTAGCATTGACTATCTTATCTAAGATATACTTAATACATCACAATGCTTCCAATATTAGCTAGTCTTGTCACCCACATACTTAGTCTGTTACGACTATCCAATTAACAAATCAAAACACTAACATTTTGGGTGTAGAAAGAGAGGCAGATGATGACTTGGAAAATGGTATCTGCAATCTCTAAATTTTGTGCGTCAGAACTCGTAGCTGACAAACCTAGAACCAGACTCATCTCAAATGGAAATATTCTCTTCATGGGCGCTTTTTATCATGATAATGCTTCTCATGGCCGCCTTATTTACGAGTTATATGTTACAACAGAAAAAAGTAGAAGCTGTACATGAGACTGTAATATCAATATTTGCTGGTGAGCTATGTAATACCTTTGTTAATGGTATCGCTAACCATTTAAGGTATGACTGTGGGCTTGATATTGAGACTAAGTTCCGGAACTTCTATACAAAATCTAGTCAGCTTCAATTACCAGATATTTTTCAATCTCCTCCTACCCCCAATTATCTTAGCGTCTGGATATGAGCTTCATCAAGCCAATTTTTTTCGTAATATCGGTACGATCATGACATTTGCCTTTGTTGGAACTTTTATATCTGCTGTTGTATTGGGTTTAATCCTCTGGGTTTACACACGCGTTCCGATCGATGGATTCGACATGAGTTTCGTGGATGCTATTTCGGTTGGCGCAACTCTATCTGCTACTGATCCTGTCACAATCCTGGCCATATTCAACACTTACAAGGTTGACCCCAAGCTTTACACCATAATATTTGGTGAATCTATTCTCAACGACGCGGTAGCCATTGTTATGTTTGAGACTGCGCAGCGCTATAAAGAGGGAGGTGCTGCCGGCACCCTTGGAATCGTCAGCTTGCTGGAGGGTATCGGTATTTTTCTGGTAGTTTTCTTTGTAAGTCTGATGATTGGCGTTTGCGTTGGGATCGGCACAGCTTTGGTCTTAAAGTGGACTTATGTCAGGAGACTCCCCAAGATCGAAAGCTGCCTAATCGTGTTGATTGCTTATGCTAGCTACTTCTTTTCCAATGGGCTGCACATGTCAGGTAAGAAATCCTCTGATACTCCGAAGTAATACTCAAAGACACAGGAATTGTAACACTACTCTTTTGTGGCATCACTCTCAAACACTATGCATATTACAACATGTCGCGGCGAACTCAACTTACTACAAAGTATCTTTTCCAGGTCCTTGCCCAACTTTCCGAGAACTTTATATACATTTACCTCGGACTTTCACTTTTTACGGAATCAAAACTAGAATTCAAACCACTTTTCATCATTGTGACAGTTTTTGGCATATGTGCCGCTCGCTGGACCGCAGTTTTCCCTCTTTCACGTGCCATAAACTGGTTCATCCGCTATCGAGCTCGCAGTAAAGGGAAAGAGGCTGCTGATGAGCTTCCATATAATTATCAGGCTATGCTCTTTTGGGCAGGTCTACGAGGAGCTGTTGGGGTTGCCTTAGCAGCCGGAATGACAGGTGCCAATTCTTGGGCTCTCAAGGCTACAGTATTAGTTGTGGTAGTATTAACAGTAATTATATTCGGTGGGACGACAGCTCGTATGCTTGAAATACTCGGAATCCGCACTGGTGTCGTTGAGGAGATTGATTCTGATGACGAATTTGATATCGAAGCGGTTCCTGGATACTCATACTATAAGAACAGCAAAAGCACTGGCTTTAGCAATAGTCCTCAACGTTCACAAGGTTCTGTACCCCTAGACGGATATTCTGGACGTACCATAGAGAATGAATCTTTGATTAAAAAACAGCAGAAATCTAATCAACATTCGATAAACTCGAATCTGAAAGGATCGATGATACGCAGACCTTCCGCTGGTGATTCTGAAGAACTCCTCAACTCAGTTGACATAGATTCGGATCCTGAATCCGATGCATCTGACCTGCCCCCCGCTGCTAACAATAACAGACGCTCTCGCAAAAATAACATCGCTGAAAGGAACACAGATGAAACTGGAAAGCCTTACCCAACAAGTGGGAGAACAGAAAGAGATATTGGACCTCAAATTACGGCAAGTGGTGCCATTAGTCAGCTTTTGCACTGCACAGCCGAGGAGCGTACGGAGTGGTTTAGACAGATAGACGAAGATTTCATAAAGCCAAAATTACTCTTAGATAGCGGGAAGGGCAATAATACACACCCTGGAAACTAAAAATAATATTGCCAACATCCTAAAATATCATCAAGTGTAAACTTTCCTGTTTCTTGTATGCTTGTTATTATACGTTAGGATGGGTTGGGCGGGCATAAGGCGGCGTTTGTAACAATTGTTTCAAATTGTGTTATGTACTGACGAAAATAAGATAATGCTTAAACACGCAAAGATGTATTAAAAACTCGTACAAATATGACAGCAAAAAAATGACTTTCACGTCATTTAACTTTGGCTTTTCATGTCTACTCTCAGTAATTGGTACCTCAAACTAGCTTAAATAGGCATAGAATGCCAGCTTTTGACTTTACAATAATTTTATTAAGGAAATATTGACCCCTTAGTCATAAGCTTATTGAGCGTGTTCTTTCAAGTGACTAAGTAAAACTAAGTACTACGGGTCCAGAGGATTCGGATCATAGTACCCCCATCCAAGGTTTCGAATAACTGTTGCACAAACCACCTCTGTAGAGTATTTTCAAATCCAGATATTAGTAGCTTTATACATATTGAGAGAGAGAGAAGGAGGTATGTTTATTGTACTACTTGGGTATTAGACTTTCTAGCACATTGGGCTCCTCTCTGACCCAGGCCACACTTTGTACAGTGCTCCTTGCCTCTTGTGTTTCTTGAAAGATCATTGATATATTGCCCGTGATGAATAGTCATGCAGCTCAGTAGTTACCCGTGGAATTCAGCCACCTTTTCCACGTAACCTTTACCCAAAAAAATGATAAGGATAGCAATGGAAACTGCGTGCGTGGGAAATAGTCTCAAAAAAACCGCAGCCCCAGCCAGTCGAGGCCTAGACACCGGGACCAAATGCGGTGCGCACACCCTCATCTGAAATGTCATCTTCCCAGGGTATCCGGTGATTGCTGGGGGTGTTGCGTGGTGGAAGGTCATCCGATTGTTGGTGGCATGCAACAAGGGCATCCCGGAAAATTGTAGCTCGCCCCAACCCAGCCGTGACGAACTTTACATTGTGATTGAGTGGCGGGGGGGGTTTTCGACCTGTCTGTGGCTTTCCGAACGCCTAAGCTTGAATATATTCGACGGTGCTATCATTGCTTCCACTTGGCCTGTTTAATGCTCTTTCTCGCCGGCTGTAATGACCACGCGTGGCATCTTCGCACAAACGGACCGATGTGTGAGTGATGTCGCGGCTCGGTAGCCGGCGTGTGCTAGTTTGTCGTTTTCCTTTTTTTCCTTTTTTTTATAGAAAAATTCATATTGTTTTCAGCTAAATAGCTATGACACAGTTCTAACATACAAAATATATATAAAACGTTTCTCCATTTTTTTACTCAAGTAGTTTCAGTTTTACTCCATTTCGTCTTCTGCATGGCCAAAGGCATGTAGTTGAATCTAGAGAGCAAAGTAATACTATTTTCCCGATGTGTGTTGCAAAAATAAGTGGTAGTGCCGTTTTCCTTTCTGATCCGGGTTTCAGTCGCTTTGCATTAGGAAATGGCTAAACTATCCTTTGCAGTTATTGATGGTGACATGAATTAAGATGATGATTGAGACTGAGATAGATTTCTATATATTTCATACTACATGATATAGTTCCAGTTCATATATCCCAAGCCAAGCAACCAGATTGTGTTTCTCCTATCACTGAGACATAGTCATAGCTGATACAACAAGTATAAACGATGAATCGTGTCTATACATGAAGTTGTGATATAGTCATAATCGTTTGAAAAATATCAACTCATGAATGAATCATATCTCTACATGACACTTTGATGGCATTCGAGAGATAGAAGCAGATTTCCTGGGCATATGTCCACCTTCTCTATCGTATTTAAATCTAAAGGCGGATGTAACCATCTTGCAATAGCCCGCGCAAAATTAGGTAGACTTTTCTTGGGCACTCTGATCTTTGATGGCGCCGGGTTCCTGGTGACGGTTGCGGCAGGTAAGATTCCGCAGATCGGAAAATGGTCGCTAGTCATACACTCTTCCCGATCGACCCAGGCGCGGGCTCCAGATATGTTGGTCCAGACGAGGTCCAAAGTATTGCCGGCTTTGTGAGTTGGCTCTCCAATTACGAGACAGGAGAGGTTGTGTCTTTCCGCCCACCTCTCTACCTTATCTCCCTGTCCATACGGCCGAGTTGCGCCTGGTTGCCAGGCAGCATGCACTGAGTTGAAGTTCCTAGCAATAATGAATCTCGCAGACAGTTTCCAGTTGACAAGCGGTCCGACGGCAGTCGAGTCGTTCGGGGCCTTGTACACATTGAGAAATATGATTCCATTGACCAGTAACCAGTAGTAGCCCCCCAGTCGATATATGATCAGGGGAAAGCTGCTTCGCCGATATCACCTTTTCGTTCTTTCAAGTGTAGGAAGGGGCCCGTAGGGCGCCCTTCACAAAGCTTCTTCAGGGTTCAAGGCCCCAAAGCCCGAGCCCTAAGTCATTGCTGTGTCTGTCGATAGGTTGTCCTTAACAGCAGCAGGAGAAGTTGTTCTTGTCGATCCGGCGGCCTTGTTAGCAGCTTTGGCCCTAGCAATAGCCTGATATTCACGTTGGCCAGCTTGCCGAATCGTCACGAGTTACACCTAGGTAGCTGGGCCAGACCTGTTGGGACGAGCCAGGCAGTCTCGGCTGCCGGATTGGTGATGCCATTCGCAGTTTCGACATGTAGAGGCTGCTCTACACTCGAATGCCGAGTGCATAGTGGATCCGCAGTCCGAGCAGGCGCGCGCGCGAGAACACCCACGAGTGGCGAGAAAACCGAGACATCGCCAACATTGGTATATAGGAGGGAGGTTTTATTAGATTGTGGCTACTCCCAAGTCGTCAAAGAGCCTGAAACCCGGCTTTGGGCTAGCATCTTCTGGAATTGAGCCGTCCATGATCTAAAGGGGCTCCGAATTTTGTTTTCCCATGGATCCTTACTTGGTTGGAAGAGCAGTTAGTGACCCTATGGATCTCCGCATGTTATATTAACTAATCTGTATAGGAGCAGGACGATGGATACTCTTGGGGAAGTTATGCTCACAGTAAGTCTCGTTAATCGCTATCGCATGTGTTCTCGTAATATGTAAGACTTGAATCTATATTCTCATATAAAGGAAACTTAGCTACAATGAATGGATGGAGGTTGAGACCTCTTTATATCTTACTCCAGACTTACTGTGTTGTTCACAGTCTAGTGCTAGAACATTCCCTTGCGATATCATTTCTCTCCTACGAGAAATGACCAGCTCGTTCTCCCTCAGTCCACAAGTCTCTCGCTGATTCCATTATCTTTATTCTATCAAGTTCTAGTTTGGTCTATAATACCCACACATGCATTACACACTAAACACCCCACAGTTTAGTTCCACCGTCACATTCATCTACAATATGGTGGCCTAAAGCATCTACCATGGTGGGTTACATGGATAACTGTCGGAATACTCGGGTGGTATTTATATCACAAGCTTTATGTAGCAGTAATAACAATTGGTGGTTAACATATATCTTCTATCCCTTCATCCTAACTAAATGAAACAAGAAAATAATACCCAACTCATGAACATTGGATTTCTGCTCAAATGGCTCTCAGATTGCAATAGATTTGAAATTATCAATGCAGAATGGGCACAACCATGGCTAGCAAATAATGTGGATACTAAAATAAGTAATTCTTCTAAGCATGCAGCAAGGGATGAGCATATTCTTCTGCTAAAAGACATCCCAAATCATGCATCAATTGTATACACAGATGGTTCCCTAATAAAAAGCAATGGAAGTAACCTTGGATTTGTGGTATACTTGCCATTCACAAGACAGGTGAAATGTTTCTCTTACCATCTCGGATACACAATGACAATCTCTTATACTGAGACATATTGTATCTTGAAAGCTATAAAATATGTTGTCTCCAATAAACATTCCAGAGAGATCTGGGTCTTCTCTGATATTCAAGCAGCAATTCAGAGGGTCAGCAAAGCTTGCAACTTTATTTCACATCAAATAAGAATAAAAAGCAATAAATATCAAATTCATCTACACTGGTGTCCAGGCCATGAAGGTATTGTTGGGAATGAGCTAGCAGACAATCCGGTAAGAGGTGGAGCCAAGAAAATTGTCAATAAAAGAGATAAATTCACAACTATGGCTTACCTTAAGCAGAAGGCAAATGAACTGACTCTCAAAGCCTGGAAAAATGACTGGGAGACCCAATTCTTGAGACAGGAAGAGGGTAGAAGGGCCAAAGGACTTGGAAGGCTCTATCAAGTGCAAGCCAGGAAAAGATCACCTATCATCAAAATGAGACCATTCAACTTCAGTCATTACAGTAGAATGACACAATCTTCATTTATACAAGCGAGAACAGGGATTGGAAATACCAGGGCCCATTTATCTCGAATTAAAAAATTGAAGGATAACTCTTGCAACTTTTGTTGGAAGGGAAAACAGACTGTTCAACACCTACTTCTTTATTGTAGTAAGTTTAAGACTGAAAGAAAGGAAGCTTTTAAAGGCATATTGCCATTGAGATTAGAGATATTGTTTAATACAAAAATTGGAAAAGAAGCAACTCTCCACTTCCTTCAAAGCAGTGGATGCATGAATGCATCCAAAGCTGACTGAAAGGGAGGAGACTAGAAGATAAGTAAAGGACATTGGGATTAAATATTTGTATTTACATATAAAATAATCAGATGTGTCATAGCTAGATAGCTGAATACACTATGAATTAAAAAAAAATAACTAAATGAAACACGTATATACAGCAGTTGTCCCTTTCTCCCAACGCCATTCCTAAACAGGTAACTCATTACTCATCAACATGATTAGTCATCATTTCTAAGATAATACATGAAAGGTCGTTAAGTCATTTGGCCATTCGACAATAACACAACACCACAGCTACCATGTCGGAGTGACTTCGATTCATCCCTCTAAACTATAGACTGTGACTGGAAACGTAGCGATCCGGATGGAAACTAGGTCACTTGGTGGTTCTAGTTTTGCCTCCATTGGTGCGAAGGAGCTGGAGG